AAATCACAAAATGGTGAATCATGTTCGTCAACCCTTATAAGCGGCGACAAGGTCACGTTCACGCGTCTATGCGACTTCTATTCTTTGCTTCTATTGTCTTGACTCATGAGCATGAATAACGTCAACGTCACACCAGTGCCAGTTATTGTTGGGAGTATTGTCTTGTATAGGCAGTTATTTAAGAACAACCAAAAATGGATATATTAATATGAGAAAAAATTTCTTGCCAAATAAGTATAATTTTAATTGTTACATTTTCGATATAAAACATGCTAATGCTTTAACAGTCAGTCGCTTTCTTCTCGGTAGCAATAGTGCAGCGTCCGAGCACTCCAACACTATACCGATAGCGTATTTCCATTTCCGTGTTCACTAGGAGGCAGTACTGTCTTGAAACACGCACGGGTTTGGCCCACTAACTGCCTTGACAAACTCGTGTTCAGTTCAAGGCACGTGTCCTCCAATAGCGCACGGATTTACAAGGAGTCGTCTTGATCAAGCGCCACAAATCTGTGTTTGTTCGAAGGCATTTTTGTATTTAAAAGTTAATATTTTGGTGTTATATTGAGTGCAATAGCAAGCGAAGCGAACCTGAGACGTGGGGTACCCTGACTTGGAGAGGTTAGGTTAGAAGGGGATGACTAATATAGAATAAATAGGAATAGACTCCACCATCTCCTACGTGGTTATTTTTTAATAAACCACTCAGAAGTAGCTAAGTATATGCGCGAAGTTCATGGCTAACTACACTCGGAAGTTAACAAATAGAAGTAATGGTCCATCTAGGTAAGTTCAATTTTTCGCGTGAATTTACCAGTCTCTAAACGGTAATACCCGATGGATATTGTGACATCACCTGAAACCGCAACGGCCAAAACCGAACCAAATGGGTCCTGAGTTTAGTATATTATGACCATTTTCCACATTTTGACGATTCCTAAAAACGGCGTAGGACTTTTAGCCCTGCGAGACCAGCCTTTATGGACAAGGTTGTACAGCAATAACGGATAAGTCATGTGTGGTGTAATGCTAATGCGGTGCTTTGCATTTGGTTTCATAGACGCCGGACATCCCTAATCCCAGCAAGGGACGGGGACTCCGTTGAGCCGTAAGAAAGAAAATTTCTTCAAAAATAACTCAGTCGTAAGCGCTTGGGAGATAGGTAAATTTCAAGGAAACTGAAAAAAAAGCAGAAGAAAAGGTTCAGTATTCTCTCAACCCGTCGCTGGGCAGACATGGAAAGAACCTGTATCGATGCTCCGACGCTTTAAATCGAAATCCCTCTGACATGTCAAAGATTACGGTTCGCATCGTTTTTGAGACGAAGCTCAAGCGTGTTACATTGTGAGAAGTTGCATATGTAACGGGTAATATCCATGATGAGATATTGAGACGCCAGTCGTCGAAGTCCCTCCTGTTTCAAGGGATGCAGCTTCATCAATCATGATGTCCGTAGAGGCCCTGCACAGCAGATTCTCTAGAGAGAAGACAGCGAAAATATATACAGGGAACACGCTTGCAACACAGATTAGAAGAGCAGATAGATCGGATGAAGGTAACAAGGGTCTCGATCGACTCTCCATCAACTAACACACAAGCAAGCTGAAGCACCGGTTGTCTTGCTGGCGCATACACATACAAAGAAGCTGATAAGTTCCATTATGTCGGTAGTATAGTAATGCGAGGCTGGAGGCGCACGAAGTGCGTCTTCTTTCATCGCATCCGTCTCTAAAGACTACTGACCTGAGAGCAGCAGAAATTGACGGCAAACTCAACTGAGCCACTCATCACTCCGATAAAAAGGATCAGAAAAGTGTCATGAAACAAAAACTCATGAAGAGACAACAAGTTTCTTACCCCTGCCGCCTAATTAGACATTAGAGGGCTGGGTCACTTCGGGGCAAAAAAGAAAAGGAAGCCTTCAATCCACTGCTGGGCTTTCAAGAGGTACGAAAATAGCCAATCCGTCATTAAGCATTATATAAAAGCCTGGTGTAGACGAAAGGGGATAAACATAAGCCAAGGTACTAACCGAGAAGAGGAATAATATCGACTTTTTAATAGGTTAGGGTGACAAACGAGCACACAGTTCACCAGATGGTAAGTGGTTGCGGTGGCCCATAGACATCTACATCTATCCTCGACTACGAATCAAAATGAAAATGCGTTGTCACCCGTGAGGGCTAAGATGGAATGCCTCGTTTCCAGTAATCCTGTTCTCTACACTCGCCATACGAAACACAGCAGCAACAAGCTATTATCTTACGCTGTTATCCCGTGAGAGCGTGGTCCTTCCCTGGTCGAGCCGACCCATTCATGCTACAACTATACTACCAAGATAACTGCAGTATGGCTTTACCACGTAAAACCTATCTTGCCTTGATAAGTAACTATACTTGGTAGGTAACTATATAGTTTTAGATGTAAAAAAATAGATCAGCGTAATAAAATGATGCGTCTTATCTAGTTTGAAGAGCACTTCCGCCTTCCCTCAATGGTGTGCCCTGTCTATGTACAACGTATAAAAAATATTTTTATCATATATAACATATATTTTTTTTTACTTTTTTAAAAAGAATATTAATAATGCTATAAACATTACTAATATTCCCCTTAACCACTCGTGGTAAGCTTAAATTGCTTGTGTTACGAGTGGTTCACGTTAGTAGTCGAATGGCGGATTCGAACCCACGACCTTTTTGAGTTCGCGGTCCGCGCCCTGCCGTTAGGCTACTGTCGCTTCTATATATTTTTATTTATTATACATTGTTGTAGAGCGAATGAGTCGGCTTTACCAGGGAAGGACCACGCTCTCGCAGAATATCAGTTTAATACGAGCTTATGACGGCTTCGTGGCGCATTGAGTTGCAGCGGTAAGGGCCACAGGCTCGAATCCCGCACGGAACAAGTATTTGTATGGCCTATAATTAATTAATTGTAACAGATTTGGATGTTTGTAAATAGCCCACAGGATACAAGAGAAAATCCTAGTGTGGAGGAAACATCTTTTAAATAGGGAAAAGAAAACAATACTATTTTTCGCATCTGCGAATGTTAATTCTTTTTCTTATAAAATAAGGGTGACAAACGAGCACATAGCCCACCTGATGGTAAGTGGATGCTGTGGCCCATAGACATCTACATTTAACCTCGATTAAGAATCAAAATGCATTTGCGTTGTTATCCCTGAGGATTAAGATGGAATGCCTAAATTCTAGCAAACAAGTCTCTACACTCACCATACACTGGTGTTCTGTGAGAGCGTGGTCCTGCCCCGGTCGCGCCGACACATTCGTGCTACAATTATAATACAGCTGCAGCGTGGCTCTACCACGCATAGATAACAAGAGATCTCGGTCGAGGATAGACGTGGATGTGGGTTAACAGTGTGTTCGTTTGTTAGCCTTATTCTAAAAAAAAAGTATTAAATATCTAAAAAAGAACAGTTGATTAGATTGCGGCAATGAAAAAGCAGAATTATGCTGCAGCAATGTTACTGACACCAGTGCTCCCAACTTTTTATATTAAATATAGTATTTTGAGATACATTAAATATAGATTTTCAGATATACATGTAAAACTATAGTAGAAAGCGAAAAAAAAACCAAAGGTTTTAAATTAGTATTTTATTTTAAAAGGAATATAATTTGCTGCTCAATGACACCAGGACCTATTTAGCAGTTTCAAGTCATAGTCTAGTTATAGTTATTTTCTAAGCAAAATGTAAATAACAAGCACTAAATAATAAAATATAGATTCGTCTGTTATCTATATTCTTATTTGGACTGCTAATTTAGCACTAGACATATGTATATTCATTTCTCGTGACCGAACCAGTCATTCAAATGGATAATTTCGGACTCCAGTACCCTACACTAAAAACCATTCATTAGATCATTCGGGACTGAATTTTTATCTTATATTTTCAACCGACTTCCAAAAGGAAGAGGTACTCAATTCAAATGTATGTTTTTTTTTTAATGTGTGTTACCTCAGAACTTTTTCTGTGTGAACCAATTTAGATGATTCTTTTTTATTTTAAAGCTGGTGCTTCTCGTATGTTCCCATATAAATTTGATCAAGATCTGACAAGTAGTTATTCAGTGTTGTGTTTTTGTGTTATTCATAATAATACATATTTAATTGACTTTGACTACATTGATGTTTTAATTTTATTTATATTGAAGTTGGTTGTACAAAATTTTTAATTTTAACAGTTGTCATTGTTTTTTAACCGACTGCCCTAAAAGGAGGGTAATGTTTCGAGAACAATATGTATGTATATTTCTTTGGCATGGTCTGTAGTCTTAATGGCTTGATGAATAATAACATATAGGGTGTTGAGTGGTCTTAATTGTAGAAGTGACATAGGGTATAATATTTGAATTCTTCTGTTTTTAGTAAAGATTTCATGCAGTCAGGTTTTTAGTTATGTTTAAACCATTGGGCTTGTATATAAAACTATAAAATGACAATCGGACCCACAGACTACCCCCTGGTAAGAGGCTACTGCATGCCATAGACAACTGCAGACAACTATAAACAAACAAGGCTATAGATGTGTTGTCACCAGTAAGGAACAAAATGGAAAAACAGCTTTAACCATTGGGATGACATATAATATTCAAGTCTGAGGAACAAAATGGAAGCTGTTCTATATAATTGGTTTCTCAGAAACAGCTCCAATTTGGATGAAATTATAAACTAAGATAATATTTTACTTTCTAGTTTGTCCAGAAAGGTATCATCCCCATGAAATTCTGAACCCCAGAAAAACTCAGTCACCCAGGTACTTAAATTAGACTTATTTTTTACAGTTGTTTTAATAAGTAACATCATATCATTAAAGTAATATGTACTATGTACTAAAAGAAACAACTCGCGCAACTCATGCTATATCCCGTGAGCATAAACTTATTTAATATGTACGATAAAAAGTATTCTGCTCCCTTCTACAAGTCTGTAGAGTTTTAGTATGTAATATATGTTACTTCTATGCATCATAAAGCATTTCCCTTAATGTCATTTAAAACCGTCAGACAGGGCCTCTTGAATGGGGATTTGTGTAGTTCTATAACTCTTTCCAACATCACATGGTTTAAAGAAAGTCCCATAACCTTCTGTGATTGAAGAAACAATAATAATAAACGTCCATAGTTTTTTTCATTAATGCACGAAGGAGCATTCTCTATAAGTTTAGATTGAAAATAATTCTGAATAATTTCTGTTTTTGTACAATCCTTGTAAACTAAATATAATGTATATAAATGATGTAGAAACATTTTTGAAGTAAATTCTATGTGCATTATCAGGGATATAAAATCTTTTTGAAATTCTAAACTGGAACTTTGTACAAATTCCTGGACTATTTTGCTGGGTATGTTAGTATCTTTGATAATTTCAATTAATACTGGTCTGAAAACTTCCGGATATATTTTATTAGATTTGTGAAGCAAATCTAAAGCAAACCAAGATTGTTCACGTTTTAAGAATATAGGGAAAAAATTGTTGAAGAACACTGAAATAAATTTTATGTTAACATTGTCCTTTGTTAAAGTTGTATGAAATATTTTCTCTGTTGCACTAATTGTTAAATGTTCTGCAAGGTTTGCAACTATAGTTGGATTTTTTGTACATTCTTCCACCATATAATCGAATTGCACTACGGGTTCCGCTTCTATAGCATCGCATACGTTTTGTTTTATTTTTATATTTGTTAAATCTGGAGTGTCTTCTCCAATATCACATTCAGTTAATACTTTAGGTGACAGATTACATTCTAAACGTTTTGTTTTGTATTCGTTTACGTTTAGACGGTCTTCATTTGTATTTTGTTCACTGTAATAGTCCAAGTAACTTTTGTTTACATGTTTGAATTTTTGGCTCCATTTATTGTTGTTTTCTAGCTCATTTGCAGTTTGAAGCAGTTTTTGAACAAGCGGTTCCGAGAAAGAGGAAAACTTCCAAATACCAGACATTATTAGAAAAACTATTTTCTGTGCAAATTAAAAATAATATCAGGAAAAATAGTAAATGAGATGTAAATAGAAGGGGGAAAAAGAGAAAGGCGAAGGACGAAAAACCAGAAACAAAATGTTTGTAAAGTATAACCAACAAGAAACCTTTGTTCAAAAACTCTGTTGTCACTTGTCACTTGTCACTTGATCACGATTACTATATTTTTTTATTAACTGACTTCACGGCTCTGGGCTCTAGTCCTTCTAAGCCTATCATTTCTTTCGGAATCACTTCACAATATGCTGATGCTTAACATTGCGAAGCTCTTGGTAGAATTTGACGACGGCTCAACCCAGCGGAGAGTTAATGACGACAGCCATTCAGGCTCATAAGGCGCCCAAGCGATTAAAATAACTTGAGATTCAACATCAGCACTTGTTTCTTCTTTAATAGCACACGCCAACTTAATACAAAATTGCATTACTTTTACGAATCAAAATCCACTTCAAACTATACAGCGACAAAACAGGAGCGACAATCCGTCTACGGCCAAGTTCCCGCCAAAACTTTCACGATTACTATAAGATGTATAGTATCACAGATCACTATATACTAGTCTACGACGTAGTATCTTCTTAGTAGTCTGTGACTATAAGCATGAGTTTTGGCGGGAACTTGGCCGTAGAAGGATTGTCGCTCCTGTTTTGTCGCTTGAATAATGGTTTGAAGTGGATTTTGATTCGTAAAAGTGATGCGATTTTGTGAATTAAGTGTCCAAGCGTGTGAATTATTAGAGAAAACGACGAAACAAGTTCTTTGATGTCGATATAAACCTCAAGTTATTTTGATCGCTTGGGCACCTCATGAACTTGAGTGGCTGTCGTGATCAACTGTCCGCTAGGTTGAGCTGTCGTCAAAATCTCCCAAGGGCTTCGAAATGTGACGCATCAGCATATTGTGAAGAAAAAGAACATAAAATGAAGATTCCGAAAGAAAGGATAGGCTCAGAAGGTCTAGAAACCAGAGCCGTAAAGCCAGTTAATAAAGAAAGAAAAGCATTGTTATAGACGTAGACAGAGAAACCTATAGACAAATTGTCGCCTTCTTTCGCATTCACACACGAAAAAGATAGATTTATGGATACGTCTTGCATAGAAATGAGACAGAGCGGTGTGATTGTCCCTTTCTCCGTGCCGGTTCTTTTGTTTAGCAAACTACACTTTGCTAAACAACTTTGACAGATCGTAGCGATCTGAGGAGTTTACAAGTGAGTTTAAGTGAGAAAAAGGTGTTTTGTGAGCTTAAGATGAATCTTGTTCAGGTCAGTTCTTAGAATAATTAAAAATTTTATCTAAATATGTTTAAAAGTCATAAAGATTATTGTATAACCTGAAACTACGTTATCGTCCTTTCTTACTCGAGGCCACGCTAACCATTGGTTTATAGTTTTCTCTGTCTACGGTTATAGACGATAAAAGATAGCTTGATCTCTGGGACATATGTCAAAATGACATTCCTAGGGTTGTCAGGATATAAAAAATTGTAGATAGAAATTATCGATGTTTCTTACTATTATCGATGCTAATGTAACATATAATAATTATAAACGTTACTAAATTAAACGAATTTTATAATATAAAATGCATTTATTCTCTTAAAGGAGTACACCCCGAATTCATATCTGAATCAGTTTCTGAATCGCTAGAACAATCTTGTAAATTTGTTATCAACTCTTGTTCACAAATATTATCAAATCGGACATCCCGCTCCCAATCTTCTTCCATTAGTTTTCTGCATTTGGTTACCACCTTCTTCCAGTCTTCTTCAGATACATTGTCGACCGCACTTTTTAATAACTGCAACATTTTATTTACCGTGAAAGGTGGTGTTGTGTTTTATCTCGCAGCGTAACCTTAAAAGAAAACATATTTTTAATAAGATTAATTAAACAGTAGTTAATAATTAAAGTACCTATCTAACTGAAATTCAAGCAAACAAACCTTTGACTTGGGCCCAGATAAGCTCGATCGGATTATACTGGCAGTGGTACGGGGTAGTCTTATGACGGTATGACCCTTTTCGTGGGCTATATCATCTAAGACATATGTTGGAGTACTAGGTTTGTGCAGACCAACGAGTCTTAATAATTCATTTTTAAGCGTAGTTTCATTGGCCTCTAGGCCTTTTTCTTGAAGCCATGCAATGATTTCTAATTTTCTGTTTGCCGAAGTTGGTGGTTTGTGCTTTTGGACCGAGTGATATTGGGCGTTATCCATAATAATGCAATGTGGCTCCTTTAAATTATCTAATAATTTTAAAAACCACTCCTTAAATTTTTCAAAATTCATTTCCTCGTGATATTCCGTAGTTTTAGTTGATATGAATGCCAATAGGCAATTAGGCACAAAACCAGATGACGTCCCAGCATGAGTTATGATTAATCTATGAACTTTGCCTTCCGGTACTTTGGTGGTTGATTGTGCAGTATCAACGGTCCAAGCTTTGGATAAGGTATAACTGGCGTTTAGCCATGTCTCGTCTAGAAACACTACTTTGTCCCAATTTGTGACTTTTTGACTTTTCGGAGAGAATTCACTCGAGCAAGAGCAATGTCGGTTCTTTCCATAATAATTTTTCTTTTGTCACTTTTTTATAGGAAAAACCAATATTTTTCAATATCTTCGTTAGAGATGGCAAGCTTGCCATCTAACAAGTCTGCGTCTTTGAGGGACGCGGCAAGTTTTTTCAATGTAGGCAATTCGCCCCGTGTATAGTAACCATATACATGGTTGCGAATCGCAGCGGGGTCAAAGTTGTCAATGTTTGTGACAGGAGCCGGCTTTATCCTTTTTTTATTTGGTGTTGCAAGTTTTTTGTCCTCGTCTTCAGTCAATGCTGCGGTTGAAGATTCGCCATACTTTTCTTTGCTGATGCGAATTACTGTCGCATGTCCAATGCCAAGAGCATCTGCAACTCTATCACATACGTTCTCCATGGGTAATAGCGGCCCGCCATTTTAGTTCTCTCGCTCAAAATATTCACGTAAGCGAATCGCAAACTCACGACTATGACTGTTCAAAACGGTTTTCTTCGTTCTCTTTGGCATTATGCCAACAAGAAACTATAGTTCATAAAAGATAGCTTGATCTCTGCGACAGCTGTAAGTAAAATCACGCCTATGAATTCCTGAATTTCTCAGTAGTACAAAATGTACCTGTCAATGCCATACTTTATGGGCATGCCAACCTAATTAGTGCATGCCCATAAAGTATGACATTGACAGGTACTCCTACTACTAAGAAATTCAGGACTTCATAGGCGTGATTTTTACTGATAGCTGTCGCAGAGATCAAGCTATCTTTTATGAACCATAACAATAATAACAAAACTCAACAAATTAACAAACAATAACAGCAATAGTAACAAAAACAAAGTAATGAGAACGGAAAACACGTAGCGTATACGAGGAGTCGGCACTCATACTGAAGAGAATGGAGGTTCATATCAAACAAGATGGCGGCACTATAGTCCGTTCGTGTTAAGAAAATAGTGAGTCATCGTTGTCCGCCGGCCTGGTCACGCCCCCCAGCCAATTAAAATGCAAGAAATTAGAAAGTCGAGTTCACAGTGACCGGTTGAAGTCAGGCCTTCGAACAAAACGGTTGTGTATTTTGCGTCTTACTCGCCCAATATTAAATTTTGAAAATGAATACCTCACTTATTCGAAAGAATAAAAGTGGATCAATAATCCATAGCGGAGAGGACGCGTAATTTACAATGTTTATAAGTACTTTAAACTGTGTGATTTAAATGCGACTGTGGAGAGCACAGTAATAAAAATAGCAAGTGCATGTGGTGTGTCCGAAAATACTGTTTATAAAATAATTAAAGAATAAAAGGATACTAACACATTAAAATCACCCGTGAAAAAAAGAGCTCGACTATCGACGGTAGATAAATTAGATGAACTAGACAAATGTGCAATAAGGAGAAAAGTTTACTCAATATATTTAAAATAACGACTACCCGACATTGGACAAAATTATGACACCTTGCGAAGCTGACGAAGATATTCCTGTTTTCATACTTCATAAAATAATGCACGAGCTTGGTTTCGATTTCAATAAACAGGATAGCAGAATATTGTTAGTCGAAAGAAAAGATATTGTTTTATGGAGGCGTAAATATCTGAGGCAAATAGAAGAATACAGAGCCGCTAATAAAACCATTTATTATCTTGACACGTAAAGACAAAAGCATGGTTGAATACAACGGTAAAAAATAAAAGACAAGCCTTTCTAGATGGCTTATCAGCCGGTCCAAAAGCTCCGACAGGAAAAGGTAAAAGGTTAATTGTATTGCACATTGGCAGCGACAAAGGATTCGTGGAAGATGGTCTACTAGTATTTGAATAAGGCTACAAAAGACTATCATGAAGAGATGGATGGTGAAAGATTTCTTAATTTGTTCATTAATATAATGCCTAAGCTAGAACCAGGAAGTGTGGTTGTAATGGATAACGCTCCCTATCATTCGGTAAGAGTCGAAAAAATACCAACAACCAGCTGGAACAAGCAGCAAATAATAGATTGGCTGCAAAGCAAAGCCAAATCCATGGACATGACTTATTTAAAAAAAGAATTATTAATGAAAGTTGCCGAAATCGCCCCACAATATTTAATAGATGAGACTGCCAAAAGTAATGTCATTACAATTCTTCGCCTACAGCCTTACCATTGCAAACTTAATCCAATTGAATTGGTTTGGGCCCAAATAAAAAAATATGTTGGTGCCAATAACTCCACGTTCAAAATGCGTGACATAAAAAAATTATTAGATGACGCAATAGCACTAATAGACGCTAATCGTTGGAAGAAGTGCTGCGACCACGTGATACGCGAAGAAAATACCATGTGGAATTTGGATGACATCGTGGAACTTGCAGAACAAAATTCTTTCATAATTAATGTAACTGGAGAATCTACCGATACTGATTAGTGATTTAAATAATTTTAAGAAA